TTTGACCCTAAATTTTAGGTAGCACAAATTCTCATCAAAGGTGATTGGTTAACATGAAATACATTAGTTTTTGAAATATAAACAAGCTTCTATTGGTCCCATTTACATGTTCTGATGATGTTATTGATGACTAGAAAGAAAGTTTCAGAAATATTTGCCCTTAAAACCTCAAGTCCTTTAATAAAGATTTTCATAATACCAAAAGATCAAGTGATGGGTAATATGGATTATAAATTTCCATCTCTTATCTAAGTTTCTCAAGTGATAACAAAACTTTAATGGAAAAAAGCTGAGATCTAAATATTTTTTTTGTGATATCACAATTCAATACTCACTTAAATGAAAGATCAATTGAGTTGACTTGTTCAATATCATAGGTGATGAAAAAGAAGATTTCTTTTAAGATTCAAGTGAAGCAAAAAGACTATTTCAATTTGATAGATTCCTTTTGAGAAGAAGTTGTTTTTATTTTTGAATTTTTTTGATGGGCCTTGAATTGTTTCTTTTCTCCAATCATTTTTTCATTTTCCCTTTTTTTTAACTTAGCTATTCATTAGTTTTTGGGCAATCAATAGTGACAAACTATTAGCAATGATTCTGATAGATAGAGATTATTACCAATCTATTAGGGATGTAATATTGTTTCCAAAATTTAACTTAAAGTACTTTTGTATAAAGATAAAATATAATATACTCTTACTATGAAAAAAGAACAAAAAAAAAAAAAAAATCTTAAAGCTTTCTTTTTAAAAGAAGAAGTTATAATATTTTAATAGAACAAAATTAAATGGCTAAAGATTCTAATCTAGATAGTAATTAAAGAACAAAATAGTGTAACTAATGATGGGTTCCTAAAGTATTTAACATATAAAATTTTGCAGATCACTTATATTCCTTTTTGATAGACAAAATTCATAGCTCTTTACTTTAATAGAAACAAAAGTCAGGAAATACTATAAATCAATTATTTGAATAATGGAGAACAATTGTGAATAGTTTTTTTATAATTATTAATTTAAAATTTTTAATATTTCCTAATAAGGGACATTTGACTTTTGTCTCTACCTCCCCTTTAGGAACCCATATTTAGATGTAACCAAATTATAATCAAAATTTAAAATATATGTATATTAAATTGAATCCTATTACTTTATTGATAAAAATTTTTTTACAATTTTTAAACCAATAAAAATATTTTCATAGTAGTAATGGTACAACATAACATTCCAAATTTAAATATCTTTAAAAAATGGAATTCATTTTTAAAAAATTTTAACCTAAATGCCAAATTAAAACCAATTCTCCTTACAGTGTACTTAATTAACTCAAATAATCACGGCTCAAGACACATCAGATTCGCCGCGTGCCTTCTTTTTCTTTTTCTTCCTTTTCTTCCCTTTTGAATCGATGGCGGAAGCAGGCTTGTTCTCTGATTTTACTTCTTCTGTGGGCGTTGTCTTGGCTTCACCTACTATTGACTTGATACTCCACGCTTTGTCCTCTGGTGGGTTATTAATTTCTGAAAGTTCGAGCTTTTGGCGGAACTGCTGGAGTCGCTTTTTCTTGGAATACTTTTTAATGTCATTTGCTACCAAATGTTCCGGTCGAAATCTTGCGAATAAGGAGCGTAAAGTTTAAAATGTTGAAGTAAATCGTAGCGATTACTAAAAATAAAAATAAACATGATTTTAAATACTCACGGCGCCAATTTTTTTATAGATACAAATTCATTCAGATCCTTTTCATCTGATAACAATATTTCGGTAGACGTCAACCCAAATGAAAGAGGTTTAGTTTGCCTATATTTGAAGCGCACGGGAGTATCCCCGATCTGTTGAAAGTAACAAACGTTTTCTATTAAATGGTTATGTATCAATAGTCAATATTGTTTCACTTTCAACTCACGATGTCTTCGTAGTCCAGTTGATAGTACTCATCCAAGTATTCATCAAATTTTCTCTTGACTTTTTTTTTCTCCTCCTTTTCTAGCCTTTTTTTTTCTGACTTTTCTATAAGTTTAAAACTTAAATATATTATTCCGTGCTTTTGATATTTCAAGATAGTAATCTTGGAACATACTTAAGTTGTCTTTAGTTTCATCGTATCGTTCACCACCGGGTAAGTAATCCGCATCCATTATAAAGTTGTCATCTTCGTATACTTCTGAGGCGTCATTTTTGCCAGGAACTATATTTCTGATATCGACGATATAATAAAATATCAGATCAAAAAATATGAGGGCGAGAATTCGCCCCACAATTCCACAAATTATAAGAAATTAGTAGACAAACCCTTTTGCAGGAACTCACCGAATATTCAACATCATAATCTTTCACGTCCAAGGTGTCAACTAAATTTTCAAAATATTCCAGCAAATGCTCCATCGTCGCATCTGAGAATCGATGATATGCAGAATCCGAGAGCTCACTGCTTAAAATATATAAATCCATACGGCGTTATTAATTCAGCGTTGAGTGCGCATAATTAAGTTACGAACTGACCCGTTATGTTGTGCATTTTGTGTCGATTCGGCCGTAGAGGTGTTGTGCCAACGAACCGAAGGAAATTCAGTTCCCCGGTAACGAGTTTGAAAGTTAAGAGAGGAACCAACCCCTTGGGTGTGAGAAAAAAATTTGACCCGCGAAGCCATAAAACGCGAGCCAAAACGTGGTACCAATGTTAATTCATGAAAATTAATTTTTAGGAAAAAAAAACGAGATAACATTGTAACGTAAAAATAAAGAATGTGCTTATTTATTGGACGGATATATTTCTCTGATTATCAAATAATGCACATCATTTCATTTTTCCTCTAATACTATGGATGTTGACGAAATATCAACAATAACTATTAATGCGGAATATGCTAAAACATATGAAGAAAGAAAAAGGAATGAAGAACTATCGAGACGTAAGATTAAGCATTCCATTTATTATTATTATTTATTTGAGCTTTCTCAGAAACTTTCCTTCTTTTCGTTTGACAGTTAAAGAAAAATATGGCGATGTTAAAATCGATTCCGACGAAGAGGACGAGTCAACTTCGGAGGAAGAGGATGAACTCGGCGAATTAGTAACCCCCGAAGTAGACGCGCAAATCATGAAGACGATTTCAGCTATAAGATCCAAGGATCCGAGAGTATATGACTCACATTTGAACTTTTTTGCAGGTGAGTAAAATTCTTTCCCTTGCAAGTCGATAACACTGGATTAAGGGAATTTGAAATCTCAGATGATGAAATACAAAAGGCTCGACAAGATTGGACAGATAAGCGACAAAAGAAGAAGGTAATGCTTTTTTTTAATTTAAACAGGATGATTGGGTCCAATGTGTTATGATGTCAACTTGCCATGCTAATTCGGATTTATCTTTATGAAGACCATTTCTTAAAGTTACTGAACGCATTATATAATTTCTTCAAAAATCAGAAAAAATTTCCATATATATATTTAATCCAAATTCACCTATATTTTTAGGACGAGGGAAAACCAGTGCATTTGAAAGATTATCATCGTCAAATGTTATTGGAAGGTGGTGGTATAATTGATGAAAAAAATAAAGTAGATGTTAAGTCCAAAGCAGCGAAAATTGGGCTAATGACATTGGAAGAAAGTCAAAAACTTAAGAATGAATTTAAGGCAGCAATTTCGGAATTTGATCTTTCCACAAAAGATGATGACGAAGATTTCTTCATTCAACGACTCAAAACTGACGATGAGTTAAAGGCCGAGGAGGAAGAATACAAGAAATTTTTATTGGAGTGCATAGAGGTGAACATTAGTGACTTTCGAATTTACACGTACGATACCATCTTACTTTCATAAGCTTCATTAAACTTATTCAGGACAACAGTAATGACGTGGAATTTGTTAACCGATGGAGAAATCACGAAACTGATCCCGGTGTCGATAAAGATGAAGCTTTTTTAATTGAGTAGGTTTATTTATTATTTCGTCCAAATGAAGACCCAGTGATATTACTCTTACTAGTGCTTCTTAGTTATATACTTAATCGTGGTTGGATAGACAAGGATTCGGCAAAGATACCTTCTTACGAAGAGCTAATTACAGAGCATGAAGACGAGGAGCAATTTGATGAGGCTGTAGATAATTTTGAAAGCCAATACAACTTCAGATTTGAAGAAGAGTGGGTAACAGTCGTTATATAAATTGGGTTGAATTATTAATGATGTTCTAATATTTTGCGAAAATGATATTACATTCTAGAGGAAGTAGCAAAATTACTACATATTCACGAAATGTAGAGGGATCTGTCCGAAGGTGGGTTGTTGTAACTTAAATTTATCTTAATCATATCGTGTCATTAACAATAAATGGTATGAATGAATTTATAAAGAGATGAGAGTAAACGCAAGCTTCAACGGAAAATTCATGCA